TACTCTACATTTTGTAGGAACTACAGAATTACAGCACGACAGGTCTAGAGAACTCTTAATGAACCTTAAGTGTCCAACCTTATCCCATTTTAGGTGGTATAAGGACGTGTTTTACTCCAAGATATTCACTAGGCAAAAATTAAGGATTATTTGGCAAAGCTGTTGCTTAAGGTCTTCACTAATGCTTAGGTTACGGATTTTATCCTTCATTTTGCACTCAGATTTATAATGTCCCACTTTTCCACACTTATAGCATGTTGGGACAGCTCATTTCTTTCCTTTACTAGCCTTTTTGCTAGTATCTCCTGTGTATTTCCTTTTTCTGAAAGTTCTATATGGCTTCTTAGGTTCAGACTTATATTTCTCGTATTTTTTAGTCTTACGCCCCCCAAATTTCTTTCCCTTTTTGTTACAAAAAGGGAAAGAAATTTGGGGGGCGTAAGACTAAAAAATACGAGAAATATAAGTCTGAACCTAAGAAGCCATATAGAACTTTCAGAAAAAGGAAATACACAGGAGATACTAGCAAAAAGGCTAGTAAAAGAAAGAAAGGAGCTGTCCCAACATGCTATAAGTGTGGAAAAGTGGGACATTATAAATCTGAGTGCAAAATGAAGGATAAAATCCGTAACCTAAGCATTAGTGAAGACCTTAAGCAACAGCTTTGCCAAATAATGCTTAATTCATCTGGTTCTGAACAAGATAGTGATGACGAACTAGCCCAACTAGAGAATGAAGAATTGTTTGAATCAGATACTGAGACTAGCTCAGGTAGCGAGGAAGAGTGCGCCTGTCAATTTAAAGAGTGCGCCTGTCAATCAGATACTGAGACTAGCTCAGGTAGCCCTATATATATATATATAGTAAAAGGCAGAGAATGATAAAAACATTCAAAATACCAGAAAATTCCCTTGGTTAATACAAACATTAAGAATTGAAATTATTAATTAAATGAGGATAATATGGTAAATTCACCCTTTTTCATTTAAAATAAAATAAAATTAAAAGAAAAATCAGATAATGAATCCTATTTTTGTGAAATACAACTACTCATTATCTTTTTTAATTCTAAAATAAATTTAAATTTTTTTAAAAAAAGCCTCTCACAAGCGCGGAAGCGCGTGCGGAGAGGCTAGTAAATAAGTATTGCATAACAAGTAGTTTCATTGTGTAACGGGAACCACCACATGAAATTAGGCATGAGATTTTTACCCACTAAATTGCAAAACTATCACAACCCTACGTCACTAGCAAGATATTGTCTACTTTGGGTCTAAGCCCTCATGGTTTTGTTCATGGGCTCAAGCTTATATTATCTTGCTAGGAAGTCAAATACCCACACATATAAGACACTTCACATTTCCCTCCCCAAGTGTTGTGGGATTTCATACTGATCTTGCCATTTCTCGTCTTGCATCTTTCAGGGCTCACAGGTCTTACGATCCATCCTACATAGGGACCAGCGTCCAGTGTTTTTGCTGGCACACTTCCTATTGGGTCTAGCTTTGGTACCATTTTGTCACGACCCTTCTTCACTAGTGAGATATTGTCTGTTTTGGGTATGGGCCTCATGGTTTTGTTCCCCGGCTCAAGCTTATGCTATCTTGCCCAAAAGGCTTCTTGCTAGGAAGTACGTAGGGAGCTAAGGCCCAGGGGGTGGGCATGTGCTCTCAAATTTTCTTTGCGACAATGGTCTTACTAAAACCTTAGTGTGTATCTTTAATAAAGAACATTTCGTTTGATGTTTTGCTAGTATCGATGAAAGTAGATAGTAATGTTACATGTAAAATAATATAGTATAACAAATTTAAATTAGGAATTTTGTATCAAGTAAAAAGTATATTTCAATATATAAGGTGCCCCATCTATGAAAATTTTCTGGCTCCGCCACTGCAAGTGCTGAAGGAAACATTAAAATCCTAGTTATATTTAGCCACAAAGATGAGGTTACAAATAACCTCTAGGCAACGAAAGCTTTAAAATGAAATCTTTGAGCTTTAACATAATTAACCCGGAGTATCTTGAGGCTTGGTTTAGATTGTTCCTCTCCTAGACATTCTAGAGTAAGATAAAGAGATAGTAGAAGTTTTACCCTTGAAGCAATACTCAAGGTTGACATCCTTTGAATTGATCACCTTATGGAAGACCTTCTTTATTCACCAAATCACCAATGGAGGTGATCTCTAGTTTTTCCACACCAAGAAAGATGGAGAATATGATGCAACCTAGGAAGGAGAGGATGCTAGTGCTCACTTCCTAGGGTCACCGATTTTGGCTAGGTGGGAGGAGCTTGATGGTGTTCTATCTCCTCTCTTAAAATTAGTTTAAAAACCCTAACTTTTCTCAAGAGAAAAAATTCACTTATATAGACCCATAAGAAGTAGACCGAATTCCCTCTATGTAAAACCAGGCATGGGGTCTCTATTGGGCCTCTTGGGCTTATGTGGCCATCCAACTATGCCCACATGTCTTAACTAACCCAATGGGCCTTGAACTGGATTTTATAATTTAGGCCCAAAAGTACCATTTTCCCGCATTCTCTTAATTAATTCAATCCTTATTAAATTAATAAGTCTATATATGCACATCATATTTATTTCCTTTCATCTATCCTTATCAATGTACGATCCATTAGGTTCTAATCGGCAAGGTAATTGGTGATTCAAAACTCTTTATTGATCGATTGTGAATTAAAACTCCCTTTTAATTCTCTCTTTATGATAACTAGATTATATCTTGTTTTCAGGGCTTCCACAAACCATGAGTGATTTCTAGCAACATGTCACGGTTGCCCAAGCCAATATAGAATGGGGTTGTGAACCTATTTAGTTGAAATTACCATGTAGTACGGTCCTTCTCTAAAACAATGCTCTTGATCATGCTATTGGAGCATGTAATTCATGTCAAGCTCTTAGTGTGATCTACAGTCTCATGTGATTCATTAAAGCATGATCTCAATCTCTATTATTGATCTAGCTCGTTACTTTGGCAAAAGACTTCTGAATCACATCTTCTGAGCATTATCCTCCTTTATTGAAGGTATAGATCCTTTGTTGTATACTCACATGTCTCCATGAATTGATCATGAACCCTAGTCATATCTTTGGGTTATGCCCAGAGGAACACAACGATTCAACATGGTTAACGGCCCACAACGCTTCCATGACACATCATTATATACCGCTAAGGGTGGACCCAAGAGTGGTAGGTAAAGTCCAAAACAAAACACCAGATAAGATTTATCAAAACACCAAATACCATATGACATGTACCCCCTACTTTTACCAAATTGACCTTCTAGAATCCTCGGTTGTATCTATAAAACTGACCTAAGCTATTTGCTAGTATGAGTGCAAACTCGCCATAAGCTAATTACTGTAGAGTTTTCTAGGGCATTTCTAATTACCAATTAGGTATTTGCTTCCATTGAGAGAGAGAGAGAGAAAATGGTGAACTCATCAAATGCATCTGAAGGCCATAAGATGAACGAAGGAGGTATGATTATCAATAACCCTAGATTTTGATAATTTTTGTAATTATTTCTTACTTAATTTCGAGCTTCGATATCGTTAATCGATAGATTTCTCTTTAATGTATTGTCCTATGTAAATCATGATGAAGCATCTTGATCTTTTCTTTTCATATTGTCTTAATTAAGGAAATGATTGAATATATATATTGATGTGTTTGTTTATTAGAAAATCATAGGGTACATTTTTTTCATTTCTTAAGCCCAAGGTATATTTCATATGATTTCTTTGCTTGTGCATGTTTTTCAAAAGCCCACAAATTGATAGGATGGACAGCCATGAGTTAGGACATAATCCACATGCCTACAAATTAATTTGAAAATGGTAGTAAGTTTGACACACCCAAATTGTCTTATGGCACTTCAAATTGAGGATTTGTATAATTCTTATACATAGTGAGAGTGGGGTGTGCCAAAAGTTAAAATGAGTAAAATTGAAAGGAAATTAAAGAAATGTAGTTTTTTTAGGACCCGTTTGATAACCATTTCAATTTTAGTTTGTAGTTTTTATTTTTTGTGCATAGTATAAAGGAAAAACAGGAAGAATGATAGTGAGAATGAGAGTGAAGATGAGATTGAGAGGAAAGATGAGAGGGGAGGAGGGAGGAAGAAGTAACAAAAGTGAAAACAAAAACTAAAAACTGAAATCTATTTGAAATTGTTTTCACTTTTACTACTCTCCCTCCCATCCTCTCCTTTTATCATCTCTCTCAATCTCATCTTCACTCTCATTTTCCTCTATACTCTACTATAAAAAATGAAAATTAAAAACTAAAATTGAATTGGTTATCAAACGGGCCCTTAATGAATAGTACTCTCTTTTTTCTTTATACCATACCCAAAAAAAAATTATTATTTTATAATTTTCTCTTATTTTATTTTTCCAATACTTGTTTATAAAGAAGTATATATATATTATGTGATTTGTTGTACTTGATACATTGTCTGTAGCCTTACCGTATCTACATTAGTACACATTAGCAGTTTATATGCAAAAGAATATAACAGTCCATACATAGAAGGCACAAAAAGATAGAAACTTTTTTTTAGGTAATTATCTATCACATAACACCACATATTTTCATGTCAATAGTGTAAACCGTCCATAGGACTTGGACAACCCAAGATTATATGACAAGTAAGCAAAAGACTTAACCATTTTTTCCTTTTTCATTATTCCATTACTTGTTATACTTGTTACATTGTATGTATAACGTGCCATACATGGAAGAGAATTTTGATTTTTAAGGTAATTATTTATCACATATTTTTCTGCCAATTGTGTAAATTGTCCATAGTCTTTGAACCAACCTAACGTGATGTGGCTAATGAAAACGTATAGACCTACATTTTTCTTGTATAAAAGGTATAGCACTACCTTCACTAACACACACATTAGAAACTTTTCTATCACTTTCCTTCACTTTTCTAAGTTTTTTCTTGAGCAAATTGAAGTCCATACCCTGGTAAGAAAATGAAGGATGATGATGATGATAATCTTACTGACTATGATGTTTGTGATTGCTGAACTCCAGTGTGCAGTGGCGTATCATCTCCCAACCGAGCTCAATCAACTCAACAAGCTATACCGCAGCCAATAGAAGCTCAAATTGTAGTTGGTCGCTTTGACCTAAATTCATTGCCTGAGGAACGACATGACCAACTAATGGCGGTGGCTTTTTATCAAGATCAACCACCACCTGCGACTGACGAACGTCAACCACCAACTGTGGTTGATCAACAACAGCCACCAGTTGTGGCAGATCAAGATCAACCAAGACTGAAACGCCATCGGGGAAGATTTAGAAACTCTGGTTCGAGACCAATCGAGGTTGAGTGGCCTGACTGGTTGCCTTCTACGTGGAAGTTCATTGCCACAAAACGCAAACGTGGTAGGACTAAGAATATGATTGACACGGTAATGAAACAAGTACTAGTACTCTTGTGATATTTTATAATTAATTAACATGTGTTACTCTTCAATATATGTAATTGCTTCCATACATGGACCAAAACTAACATCGTTCATGCCTTAACTTCTCTTGCAGCTGTATATAAGCCCGGAAGGACACCAGTTTCGGTCCAAGAAGCAAGTTCTCGATTGGATTAGAAGAAGTAATGTTGAAAATGATAACTTGTAATCAGAGGGTGTATACCTTTAGAAACAGACTATTTTCAGATTAATGCAGTGTTCATCTCTTGATCTGAGTTAACTCCTTATGTTGGGATGTAATTGTTTTCTTTTGTTGGTGCTCCCTTTATAGCTTTTACTCAGACTGATCTTGTACCCTTGTATATTTTGTTGTTGAAATTGTACCCTTGTATCTTAGATTTTCTCTTTCACTTACATAACAAGGCTTTTCAATTTCTTTCCACCTGTGATCTTAATATACTTCTGTGATTCTCACAGAAAAAATAAATATTTTTAATATGAATTCAAAGTGTGTGGCTATTAATACGGCTGAAGAAAGCTTCTCACCTGTCTTAATATATACTTTGTGCTTGTGAGCAAAGTATCACAATTATTTTTCTATTTGCTAGAATTTTTACACTGAGTCACTGAGTACAGATGGTCATGCAAGTGAGTGATACGGTGATGTGGATGGTGAGTGGTGCGCTTAGATCTAGACTTCTTCAAAGCGATTGTGGCTGAAGAAAGAACAAATCACGGCCATAGGTTCTCCTACCTCAGGAACGAGACCTTCTGGGTGTTAATCATAACAAAAACAAATTCGGCGAATAAATTAGGAGGCTCTTGCAGAGTTATGGTGGTCAAAATGGTGCTCCAAGAATCTTGCTAGAGAAACAAGAACTTGGGTGATATACTAAATGAGCGGATAAAATTGGATGATGCACATGATCTTCGAAGAACAAAGATGGGTGATATCACTACTTGAAAGGACTAAGAAAAATACATGAAAAATTTCAAGGAATGCTTTGGCAGCATGTTGGGTAGGTTTGTTTTTGAGTTGAGAGTTGTGTCCTTTGAAGAAAGAACCCCACTTCAGGAGGAAAAACTCATGTGACTTGAAGACTGGGTCCAATGAGAATGATTGGTGGTTGTCTAGGGAAGTGGAATTTCGACCCAAAGAAAGGGAAGTGGAATAGACACAGAGAGACATGCCTAGGGTAGTGAAGAGGCCTAGGGAAGTGGAATAGACACACATAGGCATGCCTAATGATAAGAATAACAAAAAAAGCTCCTCCTGCAGCCTTCTTTTCTTCATCAAAATTATTTTTATAATAAAAAACTAATGGATTGTCACAATCGTACAACAAATATATAATGTAAGAGCCTTGTCAGTCGATTGACCAAAAAGAAATATTAATTTGTCAGTCCAAAAAAACCAAAACCAAGAGCCCTGATTTTCAATTTTAGCTGTTAATCACGGTTAAAGAGAAGATGGGCAGAAAATTCTTCGTCGGTGGCTACTGGAAATGCGTATGTCTCTGTTATTTTATGATTCCTACTGTTGGATTTGATTCTGTCATTAAGCAGTGATTTTTGGTTTTTTTTTTCCTTTTTTCTTTTGTTGCAGAATGGAACAACTGCAGAGGTGAAGAAGATTGTCACCACTTTGAATGAAGCTGAAGTCCCTTCAGAAGATATTGTGGGTAAGTTTTAGACTTTAACTTGTTCTTGTAATCATTTACATTTCTTCACATAAAGTAATTGTACTTTCTAAACAAGGGATAGCTTTTTTAGTTGTATATATTGTTGTTTTTTAAGCTCATAGTGTTGTGCAAGTATTTCAATGTTTGATTTTGTTGTGCTTTCCTTTTATTGCAGAGGTTGTTGAGAGCCCTCCATTTGTGTTTCTTGCTTTTTGTTAAAAAGTAATGCATATTTGTACTAGAATAATATAGAAATGTCTTGAATAATCTAGAAAAATCTAGAACAATTGAGTGAAAGAAGAACAAGACAAATTTGAGCTCTACACTAGAAACATCCTATTAATTATTTAATGTATTGTAACTAGACTATTCTAGACTTATAGTATAACTAGTGGCTGGAAATCAGTTTGAGAAGTCGGTTACTATGCAATAACCGACTTCACTAGATATTTGCCAAGTTTAAGTCGGTTCAGCTAGTCTATATATATGCTATTAGCTGCCCATATGCATCAATCAAGTGAGAAAAGCTACAGCCAGCCAACAAGCTTGTATCCAACTCCAGTTAAGTCTTGTACTTTCCTATTTCAATCAAATAAAATTACTTTGTTACTCTTAAAAAAGTTTTCCTTTCTAAGTCAAGCTATTATCCTAAAACACTACCAACTATTTTCCAACCCTCTTCTCTTTTAAACTAACAGTGCTTTGTACCCTTAGTCATGAAAGAGTCTTGTTCACTTTATGCTAAAGAAATGTGTGGAAAAATCTAGAAGCTTTGAGATGAGCCTAAATTATTGGAGAATTATCTAGTGAAAGCCACACACTTATGGAGTAAAGAGATCAAGTTGGTGGAAGAATCTAGAGTTGTGGAGAAAAGAATAAGGAGGTGGAACAAAAAGCAATTGAAGTTGGAAGAACTTTCTAGAACAAGAGGATGCCTATAAATAGGCATGCAATCACAATGAAATGTGGAGTCCAACTAATAGAACTCCCAAACTATTAGGGAGCCAAGAGCTACCCAAAGGAAGCCATGTTGAGAGCCAATAAGCTCACCAATCAAAGTGTAAGGGCCAAATAGCCCAAACTAATCTAAGTGAAGTGTGATGGCCAATAAGCCAATGAGCTATGAAGAAGGCCAATTAGCCTATACCTCACCTATGTACTATTCTCCTCCAATCTAATAAAATCACTTTGTTTCCCCTAAATTCCTACATGGTATCAGAGCAACACACTTCGCCCGCTAAAAACTAACACTTTTGTGAAAATTTTACTGCGGTCTGATTTCCATGTTGCGGCACAGAACTGGGTTCGCAAAGGTGGTGCGTTTACGGAGAGGTTAGGTATGTTTGTATTAAACTGCTAGGCTTGATGAAGTTTAGCGAACGAGTAATTGTTCACAAAATGGCCAGTTTCTTGTTTGCTCCGTGCGGAGATGCTGGTGAATTTGGGCATTCCATGGGTCATTGTTGGTCATTCTGAAAGAAGACTTATTCTAAATGAGTCCAATGAGGTAACAAGTGATCAAATTTTATCTTTAGTTCTTCACTTTCTGTGGTTGAATACATCTTTACACAATTAATTATCGTTCTTGCGGTTCTCTTTGTCCACTCAGTTTGTTGGTGACAAGGTTGCTTATGCACTTTCTCAAGGCTTAAAAGTTATTGCTTGTGTTGGGAGACACTTGAGCAACGAGAATCAGGATCGACAGTGGCTGTTGTTGCTGCACATGATAGACTGTTAGAGGTTTCCGATCTTTTAGTTAATCAGTCTGTTAATAAGTCCTATTCTTTAGGGACTAGTTGTTTGTGTTTTTGACGAATTCCTCTTAGTCTATTACCACGTTTTAGGGTGTTGCAAACGTGGGCTATTATTTTGATTTTATCTCTTTGTAAAAGGCTTTATAAGAGCTCCATCACAGGGGGCCTGATTGTGAGTCAAGCAGAATGGTGGAGATCAATAGTAGTGGTTTTGTGCAGCCGGCCATTCCCAAATTTGACGGACATTACGATCATTGGGCGATGTTGATGGAGAACTTTCTCCGTTCCAAGGAATATTGGGATCTCATAGAAAATGGGATTTCGGTGGTGGTGACACAATCTGTCTCTACGGGATTTCCCACACTCATATGATTACTACATCCTGAATCGAGGAACCAGACCTCTTCTCTCTTAGCATGGTTAAGCTCTACATAGGACATTAATATCATCTCTTCTCCTTCATCTAGTTTTGCGTAGTTGGCTCCCATGTCCCAATTGGGACACTCATACTGAAGTGTCCTAATTTGTGACACTTAAAGCACTCGATAGTGGCCTTGTTGAAAGGTTGTCTGCCACGACCTCTTCCTCTTCCTCTGAACACCTCTGCTAGTGTTGTCTTCATGAGTGACCTTGAGAGCCTGCTCCTCTCCTTGATGGCCATTCATTCTTTGTTCATGGACCAGCAAATTGCTCTGCAATGGTCAGTGTGTTCAAATCATTGAATTCTTCAATGGAGCAAACCACATAATCAAATTTTGAAGTCATGGACCTCAAAACTTTCTCATTGATGATGGTTTGGCTCATTGTCTCACCATGAGCCTTCATTTTGTTGGCTATAGTGAGAGTACGAGCAAAGAAATTATCAACAGTCTCGCCCTCCTTCATCTGGAGAGTCTTAAAGTCCCTCCGAAGTGCTTGCAACTGTGCCCTCTTCACCTTGGTAGAGCCTTGGTATTTCTGTTTCATGGAGTCCCAAATACTCTTTGATGTGTCTCTGTTGAGTATAGTCTCCATGATATTCCGATCTATAGCTTGAAAAAGGTAATTCTTTACCTTTAAGTCCTTTAGCTTCTGCCCCTCGATCAATTTGCTTTGTGCTTCTGCCTGGTCCTCGATCGATTTGTGTTGTGCTTTTGTTGCCACCACCATAGAGACAGATTGTGTCACGACCACCGAAATCCCATTTTCTATGAGATCCCAATATTCCTTGGAACGGAGAAAGTTCTCCATCAACATCGCCCAATGATCGTAATGTCCGTCAAATTTGGGAATGGCCGGCTGCACAAAACCACTACAATTGCTCTCCACTATTCTGCTTGACTCCCTTAGTCTGAAAGAATTTTTATTGGAAGCTGTCCAGTGGTTGTCCAGTGGTTATCAGGATTTCCTGAATATTAGGATGGTTTACGGTAACACTAGACAATAAGGGGACAGGTGGGGGATTGATATTGTGTTGTCTACTCCTTAATTCAAGGAGCTGTTATTTGTATTCCCTAAGCCACAAGTTGTGGCGTAAATCAAGAAGTCAACCTCCTTATATATTGCTGAACATCTGTAATGAACTCATGATAGAATATTCAAACATTCATTGAAAAATTCAACATGGTATCAGAGCAGGAGTCTTACTGATCAAAGCTTCTGCAAGATCTCAATTTTTTTGTTGACAATAGGAGAACAAAAATGAATTTCAGAGGAAAGAAAAGTTCTGCTACCTGTGACTCTGGACAACGTCGACATATCAAGGAAACGTCTGCACCAGGTTCTAATTCCAA